AGCCGGGATTTAAAAATGGCGGCTCCCCGCTTATGCAAATGAAACCCGGGAAATTCAAATCCCGGGCTTCATTTGCAAGTGCGGTATGCCTACATTACCCTCCTAGTTCGAACTAGGAGGGTAGTGTAGACATACCCTAAGGTGCTGCAGGACTATTCGTTGTTAAGCTTTTCTTTCTATGTGTTTGACAGAAAAATGAATCATATAGCTCATTTTGGCCAGTAGGGCCAGCTTTGGAACAGTCCGAGGGAGTCCGTCTGTTGAATGAACAGATACATTTGCTAACGTGTCATCTGTCAACATAACATCTCCTCTTTACCATAATAAGAAATGTACATCCACATACAAAGCAAATAAATGGAGAGTCCCTTTGCGGTTCTTCAGGCCTCTGTACCTTTTCTGTTCTATAACACACATAACAGGTTATTTCCTTCTTTTTTTCTATGTGCATCCCTCCCACAGTGTGTGTCCAAGGCAAGCAATGTCCAATCAAACCACCCTGAAGGAGTTTCTTCTCATGGGATTTTCTGATGTTCGTGAGTTGCAGCTTCTCCACTTTGTGATGTTTCTGGTCATTTACCTGGTGGCCTTGGTGGGGAATCTTCTCATCATCACGGTTGTGGCCTTCAACCACCAACTTCACACCCCCATGTACTTCTTCCTTGGAAACTTGTCCTTCCTTGACATCTGCTACATCTCCGTCACGGTCCCTAAATCCATGGCCAACTCCTTAACCAACACCAAGCTGATCTCTTTCGCTGGCTGTGTCGCCCAAGTCTTCTTGGTGCTCACCTTGGCTTTTGCAGAGATGATTCTTCTCATGATCATGGCGTATGACCGCTACGTTGCCATCTGCCGCCCCCTGCACTACAGGGTGATCATGAACAAGTCTGTGTGCGCTCAGATGGCGTTGGGGTGCTGGGTTGGTGCTGTCTTCTACTCGGTGATGCAAACGGGTAACACCTTCAGGTTGTCGTTCTGCCGCTCTAAAGTTATCGGGCAGTTCTTCTGTGATATCCCACAGCTGCTCAAGATCTCTTGCTACGATACGTCCGCTAACGAAGCCTTGGTGATTGTCTGTGTTTTATTTTTCGGGTTCCTGTTCGTCATTTCGATATTCGTGTCCTATAGTCACATCTTCTCCACCATTCTCAGAATCCCTTCCGCGCAGGGCAAGTACAAAGCCTTCTCCACCTGCCTGCCCCACCTGATCGTTTTCTCGCTGTTTATGAGCACCACCATGTTCACCTACATGCGACCGAAGTCCATGTCCTCCCTCTACCAGGACCTGCTGGGCGCTGTGTTTTATTCCGTGGCGCCGCCCCTGCTGAATCCGATAGTTTACACCCTGAGAAATAAGGAGATAAAAGATGCCCTGAGGAAAATGCTGCTCAGGATAGTCTTGGTAAAACACGCATCATGACACTGCGTCAGTGCAGCAGCACGGGGAGGGGCCGCAAATCCAGCAGGGGTTCCCCAGGCAGCGGTGCACTAAATTACCTTTTCAGGCGGTGCTCACTTCCCATCCCAGTCCTGGGCCTGTTCTCATTGTCAGACCTCACATAGGTCTCAGAGCAAAGGACTACACACGCCTGTCAGTATCGCTGGGTGTGGTGAGCTCCAGACGTCCTCATGCAGAGTCGCAGCTTGAATAACACTGAATAATAAAGCCACTGCCATATTTCGCTAACCTGTGAAATAGCCTGAACTGGCAAACGTGTCTAGGGCATTAGCACCCCTAACAGACATTGTTACCACAACAACTGTGACACTGTGATGGCTGTGGGACCATTTGGATCACTGATGTTGCCACTGTTAACAAATTGTATCAAATCTTGCACAAACTATATCCTGTAAAAAAAAAGAGCAGTCCTGGGACACCTTAGAGACTAACAAATATATATACAGTATCGTGAGCTTCATGGGTAAAACCTACGTCACCAGATGGGTGCGAGTAGAAAGAACAGAAACCAAGATATAGATATATAACTGCAGAAGAAGTACCTGTCAATTGTAGGACCAGTGTTAACGAGGCTAATTAAGTGGACTGGATGTGTCCCATTCACAGCTGTTGATGTGAAAATACAGATATTAAAAACAGGGGTAATAGGCTTTGTAATGCATTAACTAGATGATGTCTTTATTCAAGCCCAGGGTAACAGTGTCTCATTTGTAGATGAATTCCAGTTCTGCAGCCTTTCTCTGTAATTAACTGGTGAAATTCCTTTGTAGAAGAATGGCTATTTTTGAATCCACGACTGAGTGACCAGGCAGGTTAAAATGTTCCTCTACAGGTATATCCTTTAAAGTGTCAATGGATAAGTTGTGATTGGCATAATAAAGCGATCTGGTTTAATTCCCTGTATCATGGAATGAGATGTAACAGTTAACTCAAACTAAGGACTTAGTTCGAGTTAACGTTTGACTGCCACGTGTAGCCGCGGGCAGTTAGTTTGGACTAAGGGAATTTAAAAATGGCGCCTGGACGGGAAGATGCAAATAAAGCCCGGGATATTTAAATCCCAGGCTTCATTTGCAACTTTGAATGCCTGCATTAGCCTCCCCGGTTCGAACTAGGGGGCTAGTGTAGACATACCCTAGGATTAGACTTCCACTTCTTGAAAGATGCCTTTTTGTCCCTCACTGCTTCTTTTACATGGTGGTTAAGCCACGGTGACTCTTTTTTAGGTCTCTTGCTATGTTTTTTAATTTGGGGTATACATTTAAGTCGGGCCTCTATTATGGTGTCTTTAAAAGCATTTCATAGTCACCATCACTGTCCTGGTCAGGTGGTCGATAATAGATCCCTGCTGCTAAATTCTCATTATTGGAGCATGGAATTACTATCCATAGTGATTCCATTGAACATGTTGATTCATTTAAGATTTTTATTTCATTTGATTCTATGTTATCTTTCACATACAGTGCCACTCCGCCACCCACCTGGCATGCTCTATCCTTCCGATATATTTTATATCCCGGTATGATTGTGTCCCACAGATTTTCCTCATTAAAAATAACCCCAACTATACATATAATATGATGAGGGCTAATTTGGCTACGACAAGTCAGGAAAGAGATCTTAGAGTTATCGTGGTTTGTTCTGTAAAAACGCTTGGAGTTATCGTGGACAGTTCTCTGAAAACTTCCACACAGAGTGCAGCGGCGGTCAAAAAGGCAAATAGGATGCTAGGAATTATTAGGAAAGAGATAGAAAATAAGACCCAGAACATCTTACTGCCCCTGTATAAAACTATGGTACGCCCACATCTTGAGTACTGTGTACACATGTGGTCTCCTCACCTCAAAAAAGTTCTTCTTCACACAGCGCATAGTCAACCTGTGGAACTCCTTGCTAGAGGAGGCTGTGAAGGCTATAATTATAACAGAGTTTAGAGAGAAGCTAGATAAATTCATGGAGGTTAGGTCCATAAAAGGCTATTAGCCAGGGGATAAAATGGTGTCCTTGGCCTCTGTTTGTCAGAGGCTGGAGAGGGATGGCAGGAGACAAATCGCTTGATCATTGTCTTCGGTCCACCCTCTCTGGGGCACCTGGTGCTGGCCACTGTCAGCAGACAGGATACTGGGCTAGATGGACCTTTGGTCTGACCCAGTACAGCCGTTCTTATGTTCTTATGTTCTCATTCCACCAGGTTTCAGTGATGCCTATTATGTCAATCTCTTCCTTTAATACGAGGTACTCTAGTTCACCCATCTTATTAGTCAGACTCCTAGCATTTGTGTACAAGCACTTTGCCACTGTGTATTTGTCTGCCCTTCCCTGATGCATTGGATTCCTTTGAATACGGTTGTTTGTCTGCTCTAGGCCACCGTTAAGAACAAAGAGAGATTACATTAAGACAACATATGAACTTGAGATCCTCTATTTTAAATCACACAAAAATTTCATATATGAACTTAAAGTTATGAAGCCTGCTGTCATTCCATTAATTGCAAATGAATATTCAATCAATTAGCATTATAATCTGCACCACAAATTCTACAATATTTTAACGTTTATGCACTGCATAAGTGAGCACAATGGCCAATAACCAGTGGCTAGTGGAATCATTATTGATCTTACTGCACCTGGCCCTGTGCGTGGAACTGGAAATGTTTTCGAGAATGCCACCAGAGAGGTCCTGGATTTCAGTCTCTTTCCTAGCAGCCTAAATTTGGCCTCCAGGACATCTCTCCTACCCTTCCCTACGTCATTGGTACCTACATGTACCACGACCACCGGCTCCTCCCCAGCACTACACATAAGTCTGTCTAGATGCCTCGAGAGATCCGCAACCTTCGCACCAGGCAGGCAAGTGACCATACGGTTCTCCCGGTCATCACAAACCCAACTATCTAGGTTTCTAACGATCGAATCACCCACTACTAACACCTGCCTCTTCCTAACTGGCACTCCCTCCCCCTCAGAGGTATCCTCAGTGCGAGAGGATACCGCAACATCCTCTGGGAGGAGGGTCCCAACTACGGGATGGTTTCCCTCTGCTCCCATTGAATGCTCTTTTCCCTTGAGACTTTCATCCTCCTTAAGAGCACTGGGGCTCTCAGACTGGAGGTGGGACAGTACTACAGTGTCCCGGAAAGTCTCATCAACATAGCTCTCTGACTCTCTGAGCTCCTCCAGTTCAGCCACTCTGGCCTCCAAAGCCCGAACTCGGTCTCTGAGGGTCAGGAGCTCCTTGCAACGGGTGCACACATACGCCACCCGCCCACAGGGCAGGTAATCATACATGTTACACTCGATGCAATAAACAGGATAGACCCCACTCTGCTGCTGGGCTTCTGTCTGCATTCTTTCCTATGAATGAGTTTGATTGATAAGGTTTCTAGTTAAAACAGGAAGTTTTTATTAAAACCTTTAAACTAAACTATAAAGACTGGCAAGAGTACCTTGCCTCTTCCCACTCCCCTTCCCAACTCCCTCTCAAAACTCCCTGATTGCAAGCTCCCTGGTCGCTGACTCACAGCTTTATAAAGCCCCGGCCTGCCTGGTAGCCCTGCCCCATCTCGAATGTATTTGCTGCTGGGTAACACGCAGGTGGCAGTTTATGTCTGTTCTCGCCAGCCCACCGTGACTGGACCAGTCAAACTTGTTGGGCTATTAGGAATGCTTCAGTTTCGCAGTGGGCCTCAGAGTCCTCCCATGGACACCTCAGCCAATGGCCACCCCTGTGAGTTATCAAAGCGTGGAAGGCAGCGTTTCTTAAACTGTGGTCCGTGGCACACCGGTGTGCCGTGAAGCAGTCGGAGGTGTGCCGTGGAGAACAACAGAATTCAAAATGGCCACCCTTAAAGGGGCAGGCGAACTTTTTTTCTCAATAACTTTCCCCCAACCCTTCCCCCTCCTGTCCTTTTAATTAATTTCGAAATAGCGGTTTGCGTGTATAGACGCTATTTAAGTTAATTCAAAATAACGGCTTAGGTTTCGTCTACACTGCAAAGTTAATTCGAATTAACTTTAATAACGTCTATACATGCAAACCACTATTTTGAAATTAATTCGAAATAGCAGATCCCTTAATTCGAATTTGGTAAACCTCATTCTACGAGGAATAATGCCAAATTTGAAATCTGCTGTGTAGACACTTAATTCGAAATAGGGGGCCTCCAGCTCTTCCCAGGGAGCCCTGGTGGCCTCTCTGGGCACAACCAGGAAAACTTCCTCTCCTCTCCCCCAGCCCCGGAGACATTCAAGGGGTAGACCCTGGCCACAGGGCCTGTGCCAGCTCCAAGCCTGCCAGCCCAGAGCCAGCAGTGGCCACCGGGGCCCCTGACCCAGTGGCCCCAAAACATGAGCCAGCAAGCCCCTGGCAGCCAGCCCTCCACCACTCCCCAGGAGCAGTTTGCCAGCTCCCAGGAGCCTGACAGGGGCTGGAGGAGGGGGGGGGCT